AAGTCAATGACTGAGAGACTTGGATATTTTATTGTAAATCTGTTACGTACATTTGAAAAACAGCCATGGGTAAACTTGACCCGTTATAGTGTTAAACACATGAAATGATTTGAGAGGAGAGGAGAGGAGAGGATTACAGAAAAGGAGCAGAGCAGATGAAGAGAATCAAGGAAAGGAGATGAAGAAAGAGGGAGAAAAAAAGTGAAGGGTAAATGAAGAGATAGGAGATAGGATATGAGAGAGGAAAAAAGAGAAGCAGACAAAAGGAGATGAACATATAAGACATGAAAGGAGACAAGAGGAGATAAACAGAGAGCAACGAGAGGTGTGAGCTGTAAGATTGATCAGATATCAGGAGTAAAGGAGGAGTGCAGAGACAAACAGCATTCAGTCTGCGCGATGGGTGATCATAATAGACTCACTGGGACACACATCAGATTCCATCTACATTCCTCTCCTCACGCACTCGTGACCCGAGAATGTGAACAAGCATGTTAATTGCACATTTAATACCTGTTTCTCCTCAAGCACAGTTAAAATCAGCTCAGCAAACTAGCCAGTTTGTTTAAACAGAAGCACTTAACACCGGGACTCGGGATCATTTTCATGCACAATTCAGATACCTCTTCATGCATAATGTAATGTCTCAATATGCAGGATCCGCTCATTTATATACAGTAAACGCCGCTTACTAACACAGCCTGCCCCCATCTGATTTGCCCATGCATTATGCAGCTCTGACTCTGCAACGTGACTGGGCATATCTGCATTTTTTTTTCTTCCTCAGATTATATAAACCTAAACAATGACTTAAACAACAGGACTTTCAGACAGCGGCAGAGCTCTACCAGATCAGCAAGTTTGAAGACATTAGGAGAAAACTAGGCATCCAGAGGGAAAGAGCCCACTTGGGTATATATGGAGAACTTCTGCTCCTGTAAGACCCTTCCGACACACGCATAACAAGAGCAGTGAGGACAAAATAAATGCGTTTTGTGTTTTTAATGATCCTCTGCACTCGATTCATAACAACTTAGATCTCACGCCTCCTGTGAGACGAAATCAGATGATGTCGTGCTCCGTTTCCCACAATGCATCTGCGTTTTTATCGATGGCTTGGGTGCAGTTGAGGAGGCAGGGTGAGAGAAGGGAAATAAGCACAGCGTGAGAAGGCTGGAGTGGTAGCAGCTGAATACAGGGGGGGCGGAAGAATCTCTTTACCAGTTGGTGGAGGAGCGAGAGCGAGCAGACAAGTGAGAGAGTTCAACTTGTCACCTCCCTGTCATTCATCAGCCTTGCTCCAGCTGAAAGAAAGAGAATGAAACAGCATTAACTGCAGCCCCTGTGGCCCTGGCCTTCCAGAAAATGGTCCCTTTAGCCCTTCTCGACATCTTTTCCTCTAGAAGCTTTCGATCTTCCTGACATCACTGCAGTGCTTGATTACTTCTAGGGCTTTTGCTCTATAATGTTTGTTAATGGTTCATGATAATGGCCATTTTGCATGTATGGCAGACTCAGTGGAGTGGTTGCGGCTGCTGTATGATTTAGGCCAGATAAGTCCACTAATTCATTTGATTATGAGGAGTCTTAATTTAAGCCGCTTCCCTTGAGATGTGTAAGGCTAAATGTGGTGGTCGTTTTAAGAATGGATCTATTGATTTGAGCATTGATCTCCAAGTAAAGAGCTGTTTGGGTAGAGCCTGACCCTATAATGAACTAGCAGAAGAAAAGGAGGCCAACATGATATATTCATTAAGATTGAAAAAATGAATGCTGTTGAGGAAACAAACATTAGAGTAGAGGAAGGCCTGTAGAGTTGATTAAAATACCCAGTCAGAATTCAACTTATTTGGCTTTTAGTCTTTGTCTGTTTTGATGTTAGTGTACACCTAAATGGTGACCAATTTTGCTTTTAGCAGTTGCACGCTAAGTCGCTTTGAAATCAAAATTGACAGTTCTTATTTTTTTGTGTTTAAATTATTTATCCATGCACATAATTATTTGTTAAAAATTCATGTGCCCCTGTAATCTTTAATCAAAAACATTAACTTCCCCTCCCTCTCTTTTTTTCTGATGGCGTGTACGCTGGCTTGAGGGCCGGACAATAATTCCTGTCACTGAACTAAAACCTGTCACTCACATGAGATCACAGCAATTAGCAAACAACAACAATCTATTCCTCATGGCCCTGCCTTCTCTCCTTTGAGAAGAGTTTCACTCGGATATTTGCATCACAAAAGAGAAGAAAAGACAATCACAATTTCCATTTTTTTGCCCACTTTAAAATATACATCATCTTTCTTCTGGGAAAACGAGTCAAAAATATTGATGACTCATCCTGCACTACACTGATTTCCGTCCAATCAAATTGTCTCTAGAATGAGAATGCCCCTCCCCAACCGGCTAGCAAGTAGAAAATCATGATTGAGATGTAAGTTAAGTATATTGGTTGTTTCTAAAAAGATTTTTTGATTTTTTCTTGTTTATTAATTAATTAATGTTTTGTTTGTTTTGATATTTTTAGTGGTGGTGCTTAGTGTTGCTTTCGTCAACGAAAATTATGACTAAATATAGTCGTCAATGAACGTCTCGGTTACGTATGTAACCCTCGTTCCCTGAAGGAGGGAACGGAGACGTCACGTCGGAGGACCGACGAATTGGGATCTCGCTTAGAGGGACCAATCTACTTCGAGTGTAAACTAAACGAGCCAATGCACATTGGCATGCGATTATTGCATCCAGCTGCTGCTGATCACAGCGTGAGTATAAGTAGGCAGCAGGTGCAGCGCATATTCAGGTTTTCGCGGAGGAGCCGAGCCGGTGACCCGGCCGCTCAGCGGTGGCACAGATTTCTGTTTCCTGTGTCTGGCTTCAGGGGCTGCATCAGGTCCCCACTCGCGGAATTATTTAGAACAGTGTTTCCCAACTGGGGTCTGTCCAGAGCAGGGGTGCCATGTAAAAAATAATTTTTTTATATTTTTAAATTGCTAAAATTTTCAATAAAGCAGCTATTATATAATATCCATTTCTAATGCCGCCAATAATTAGAGATGCACAGAAATTCCGGCTGCCGAAAATGAGTT